CTGAGGGGCCCCGCGGGGGCCAGACGCCCCGATGGACTCCCTCTACCGAGACCTCTTTTGGTACCTGGACCACAATGAGGACGGGACCCTGGACATCCTGGAGCTTGAGGAAACCCTGGGTGATATAGGGATCGCTGCCCCCCCGGAGCCAGGGAAGGTGGGCCTCGGGGGGCCGTGGGCGGAGAGATGTGGGGGCTGGTGTATTTTTCTTTATGATTACTCTATTTCTTTATTCAACTGAAACATGTTTTTCCTAGTTACTTGGGATGGGGTAAGCCTTTGATTCATTGATTTCCAGCCGTTCTTCGTTTCTAATTCTGCACTAAAGTCCATGAATTTCCCTCTAAGCTTTTGAGGCAGCTCATGAGTTTCAGACCCTTTCCTCTGAGTCCGGAGCGTGGAGGTCTGACCATGATGCGGTCCGGCCCCAGCGAGGCATTGTCTTCCCAGAAGAGCAGGCGTCTGTGAGCTCTGGGTGGGTGACTGGGAGGCTCTTAGCGGGCAGAAGGTGTACATTTTGGCTGACGGAGGGAGAGGGCTTACATGTCATACCAAATACCATACTTCTTATTGCTTTCGCTAAAGCATTGCTTTCTACTAATGGAGATCATTTGATATGACAGCTTTTTATAAGGAAAATATTATTTAATTTTGGAAATCCAAGGGAAAATACTGTTTTAGATATTTAAATCCCGTGTTCGTCTTCTGCCTGGGGATTTATGAAATACATGTCTTATAGGAAAACAGCCAATCTACTTGAAGTGTATGTACAAGTAATTTAGTATTTTAACCCATGTTAAAAGACTTCTATTTTTTTTTCTAGAAAATTTTTTCTACTGGTGATATCGACAAAGATGGGAAGCTAAATTTTGAAGAATTTATGAAGTACCTTAAAGACCATGAGAAAAAAATGAAATTGGCATTTAAGAGCTTGGACAGAAATAATGATGGTAAATTTTATTTTCTATTCATCATCTGCTATGAGGAAGCACTTATACTTCCAAGAGTCTAAAACAATGTGTATTTAGCCTTTTTTTCCTTAGGTGATAATAATAACTATTATTTTTAATCCTCACCTGAGGGTAGTTTTTATTGATTTGAGAGAGAGAGAGAGAGAGAGAGAGAGCTCAGTTGCCTCCCATATGCACCCCTACTGGCGATGAACCTGTAATCTAGGTATGTGACCTGACCAGGAATTGAACCCTTTTGTTGTATGGGACGATGCTCCAACCACCTGAGCCACCTGACTGGGGTTTTAATTATTACTAGTGTTAATACTTGTTTTTCTTAGTAATGTGATTTTTACATAGAATTCATGTTTTTCGTTAAGAAAAGTTATTATTTGTCCAATGAGTTAAGAAACTGTAAGTTGGGGCTGTTTGCAAAATGTTAACTATGGAACAATATGCTGATTTGACTTAAAGCTTTGGATTGAAAAAAATAATTATGTTTCCTTGTTCTCTGGGCAAGAGAGGTTTACTAGTATTTTTCTTTCATATTTAGGCATAAAAATGACAATCTAAATTTTAAAAACTTGTCGATTATGTTACATTTGACAGTCTTTTTGAAAGAATTCATTTAGAGCAGATACTCTCTGATTTTGAAAATTAGAAAAAAAAAGCAGATTAGACATTTAAATGTGTGTCTTTGGACTGGAATTTTGGTTTCTCTATTTAGATTAATAGCTTGAAGTGAGAGTCCCATATGTGCCAAGCAAAAAGTAAGAGTGAAATAATGTGCATACTTGTTTAATGTATTTATTAGTTTTTGAGTTGATATTGCACTATGTACTTAAGCAAATCTAACCCTCCCCTAAATTCATAATTTTATCTTAATCCATTCAAGGCTTTCCCCGATAAAATGAGGGATTTGCAATTCATGATTTCTAAGGTCCTTACAGTTCTGACGCTGAGTTCATGCTGTTTTTATTTCTTTTAAAGGAAAAATCGAGGCTTCTGAAATTGTCCATTCTCTCCAGGTACTAGGGTTAACTATTTCTGAAAAACAAGCAGAGTTGATTCTTAAAAGGTAAGCTCTCAGTGGATTGAGAATTGTTTCTTTTCTTTGATGTTCGCTTTCATGTCCTGCTTCAGAGCGCTAATGTCAGTGTGGTTAAGACAAGTCCTTGCACCTCGCTGCACCCATTCGATATCTTTCTCTCCTTTTCCTTCCTTTTTGTTTGTGTGCACACATATTTCTAAAGTGTAGGAGTGGGGAGCGCAGCCTCAGGCAGGACTCTTTCTTCTCTTTAAAATTGATCATTTGATGTAGGTGTAGTTGGTATACAATCGGATATTAGTTTCAGGTGTACATTAGAGTGAGTCAGTACTTTGAGGCCACAATGTGACCACCTCACTGATTCGAGTCCTTGTCTGCCAGCAAACTCGTCACAGTAGGATTGACTGTATCTCCTTCACCTTCCACCCATCCTCCGCCCGCTCCCTTCTGGTGACCATCCCTTTGGTCTCTGTTTCTATGACTCTGTTTCTGTTTTGCGTTTTTTTATTGAGATTCCACATGTAAGAGAAAGACAGACAGGATTCTTCCTTTATTTTTTAAAAAAAATATATTTTTATTGTTTTCAGAGAGGAAGGGAGAGGGAGAGAGAGAGAAACATCAGTGATGAGAGAGAATCATTGATTGGCTGTCTCCTGCACGCCCCCTACTGGGGATGGAGCCCGCACTCAGGCATCAGCCCTGACCAGGAATCCAACCAATGACTTCTTGGTGCATGGGATGGCCCTCAATCCACTGAGCCACGCCAGCTGGGCTAGGGTTTTAAAAAATTTAATAAGAATATTAAGTTGGAAAGGAAACGGTCATTCTGTAAAAAAGCCAGCACTATTAGTTTTATTTGTAAATTCTGTTTTGTTCCTTGGTTAGCTTCTTTTTTTTTTTTTCCAGCATTGATAGTGATGGAACGATGACAGTGGACTGGGATGAATGGAGGGACTACTTCTTACTTAATCCTGTTACAGATATCGAGGAAATTGTCCGTTTCTGGAAACATTCCACTGTAAGTACGCTGTGTGGATCGGTTTATCCCTGTTTGGAGCTGTAAGCCATTGGTATGGTCACCACCTGAGAACACGGGGACATTTACAGCGCAGGCGCCCAACCCAGTCCCAGTGGCTCCTTAAACGTTGGAGCTCTGTTAACTCTACTGCATGTACATCATAGATTCTTACTGGATCTTTGGAGATAGTTGGTAACAGTGTCTCTTTTACTCACAGTCAGAGGAAGAGAGGGTTACTGCTATTGCATAGCTCCTTCCCCAGACACTCTTACCTATAAAATCTTTTACACCAAAATCATTTACATAATAAAGTTGTAAAAATATTACCATTATAGAGCTGTGTTTCTCTCAAGCCACGTTGGTAATCACTGACCACCAGGGGGCAGCTCCTGCTTTGAGCGGCTGTTCCCTGGTGGTCAGTGCGCATCATAGCCACCGGTTGATCGGTCATTTGGTCGTTCAGTAGCTTAGGCTTTTATATATAGAAATTTGAAGCATATATCATGGTGCAAAGCATAACATAGATATAATTACGAGATAAAGAGTGAATTTTTGGAGAGTTGACAAGCTAATTTCTTTAGTTAAAAAGAAATAAAATACTGCCCTTTCATTCTGACTTAGACACAGAGGAGAAAATTTACTCTGAATCCATTAAGAAAACAAAGCCTGACTGTTGGTTTTGTAAATTGGTGAGCACTGTCGATTTTCATTTCTGGTGAACTGACACTGCACACACTCCACCTAGTGGGAAGAAGCTATTGACCCTCATCTCTGCTCAGATTGGTTTGGTGACTTTCAGGGAATGAAGCTGATCTTAACTATAAAATAACACCTGCTTCTTCTTTAAAACAAAATTGCTGGAATGATCTGTGTTTAGTTGAAGGAGCGTATAATCTCCTCCCTATCCCCCTCTTAACAGGGTATTGACATAGGAGATAGTTTAACTATCCCGGATGAATTCACAGAAGATGAAAAAATGTCGGGACAGTGGTGGAGGCAGCTTCTGGCGGGAGGCATTGCTGGCGCCGTCTCCCGTACAAGCACCGCGCCCTTGGACCGTCTCAAAGTCATGATGCAGGTGAACTTTGTGACCTTGTGTCTGTTTGTCCTAAATACCCTCAAACACCAAGAAATAGGGTGCTTTGGAAAAAGTTATCAAACTCTCCGTAGTAGTCTTTTATACCTTTAAGAAATATCTCTGCATTTTATCGCTATTAATCCTAAATTCAGTCCATGTAATGATTTCAGTGTTCTGCCAAACCTTAAATTGTTGATACATGTGTGTGATGAGCTCTTAATCTTTGGTGTTCTACAACTCTTCAAGTGTGTGTGTTTTTTGTTGTTGTTGTTTTAAAAAATATATTTTATTGATTTTAGAAAAGAAGGGAGAGGGAGAGAGAGATAGAAACATCAATGATGAGAGAGAATCATTGATTGGCTGCCTCCTGCACACCCCTTACTGGGGATCAAGCCCACAACCCAGGCATGTGCCCTTGGCCGGAATCGAACCTGGGACCCTTCAGTCCACAGGCCGATGCTCTATCCATTGAGCCAAACCAGCTAGGGCTATTCAAGTGTTTAAATATTCAGTCATTATTATAGGGGTCTCCTTAAATTATTTATATGTTATACATTTTTTAAAAATTAGTAATTATTCTTTTTTCCCCAAAAATATATTTTTATTGATTTCAAAGAGGAAGAGAGAGGGAGAGGGAGAGTAGGGGTCTCCTTAAATTATATGTTATACATTTTCTTTCTTTTTTTAAAAATTAGTAATTATTCTTTTTCCCCCCAAAATATATTTTTATTGATTTCAAAGAGGAAGGGAGAGGGAGAGGGAGATAGAAATATCAATGATGAGAGAGAATCATTGGTCAGCTGCCTCCTGCACACCTCCTACTGGGGATCGAGCCTACAACCCGGTCATGTGCCCTTGACCGGAATCGAAGCTGAGTCCCTTCAGTCTGCAGGCCGATACTCTATCCACTGAGCCGAACCAGCTAGGGCTATGTTATATATTTTCTAAGCCTCCTATCTTCTGTTTTCAAACACATCTTCTTGCGGTATTGGAGAAGAGAGAGGGGTTTGTACTGTTACTATAGAAATAGTAACAACAACACGTCACGAGTATTTTACAGCGTTTTACTTTTATTTTCAGGTCCATGGTTCAAAATCCGACAAAATGGACATATATGGTGGCCTTAGGCAGATGGTGAAAGAAGGAGGGATCCGCTCCCTTTGGAGAGGAAACGGCACAAATGTTCTTAAAATCGCCCCGGAGACGGCTCTCAAGTTCTCAGCGTATGAGCAGGTAATTGTCATCACTGTGTTGTCAGTGACAGTATAACTCTGGGTATTGCCCACAAAAACTGTTTCTAGGTTGTTAATATTTGTTTGCTACTTATTCAACAGCTTTATTTGTGCTGCTGAAAATAAACCCACCTTCGAAAAAGAAAAACTATGGGGTCACTGTTCAAAAACACTGTTGTGAACACTATTAACCCTGCATTTTCTGTGCAGCTGAGAAAGAATGTTATTATTCTGGTTGAGCAAAGGAGCAGCTAGTTTCCCTCTGGGCAACATCTGGGCAACATCTGTGCCCTGCAGAAACCTAACTTGAAAACTGCTGTCCAGCCAACGGAATGCAGTAGCATTTAAGCCTTGCTTTCCTGCTAAGTATTGTTAATGCAGTGTTTGCATTTTGAAAGACATAATCACATGGTCAGTTAATTGCCTTCTAGAAGCTGATTTGTGTTTTGGTATTGTCTTATTCAGCTTGGGCTGCTGTAACGAAATCCATATAGTGGGTGGGTCAGACAACAGACATTTATTTCCTGCAGTAATGGAGCTGGGAGTCCAAGAGCAAGGTGCTGACCAATTTGGGTTGTGGTGAAGGCGCTCTTCCTGGCTTGCAGATGACGATCCTCTTGCCATGTGCTCACATGGCCTTTCCTCAGTGCATGCATGTGGGGGAGGGGGGGGAGAGAGAGAGAGGGAGGAGAGAGAGACAGAAAGGAGGAGGGGGAGGGGAGGAGGAGGAGAGGAAGGAAGGAAGGAAGGAAAGGAGGAAGGGAGGGAGGGAGGAAGGGAAAGAAAGAAAACTCCCTGGTATCTCTTCTTATAAGGACACTAATCTTGCGATGAGGGTCCCCCCCTCATGACCTCATCTAACTCTAATGACCTCCCAAAGGCCCCATTTCCAAATACCATCCCATTGGGGTTACAGCTCCCACATTGCATTTGTGGGGAGGGACACACAATTCTGTCTATAGCAGGTACTAATGTGCACTTACCATTGATTCACACAGTACAAGAAGATGCTTACTTGGGAAGGACAAAAATTAGGGACCTTTGAGAGATTTGTTTCTGGTTCCATGGCTGGAGCAACTGCACAGACGTTTATTTATCCTATGGAGGTACGTGCCATGGTGAAGTCTGCCGGTGTTAACGGTTTTCATAGTCACGATCCGTGGCTGTGTGGCAAGTATTCCCCAGATTTAACAGTTTCAAACAACAAGCATTTCTCACTTCCCAGCTTCTGTGGCTCAGGAATCGGGGAGGAGCTGGGCGAGGTGCCTGTGGCCCAGGGTTCCTTACAGGCTGCAGTCAGGGTGTTGGGGATGGATCTATTCCACACTCTCCTGGCTGCTGGAGACACGGATCCTTACCCCCTCGGCCTCGCCACAGGCTGGTTTCCCCAAATCGGTGACCTCAGGGGTGGCAGAGCCCCAAGAAGGAAAGTGCATTCTTTGGTCACTTTGTCAACTGTTGGCCACACAGACGCCCTGGTGGAGTGTGGGAGGGGACAGGCAGGTGTGAGTATCAGGAAGCTGGCCTAGGGGGGCCGCCTGGGAGGCGCGCTGTCACGGTGCTGGTAAGAATGAGAACACTGTTCCTCTCCAAAGAGTTTCACGGCGGTGGAGTTCACACGAACAACCATATTTTGTTTATTCTTTCGCAACCAGGTTCTGAAAACCAGGCTGGCCGTGGGCAGAACTGGGCAGTACTCCGGCCTGTTCGATTGTGCCAAGAAGATTTTGAAACACGAAGGCATGGGAGCTTTCTTCAAAGGTTATGTTCCCAATATACTAGGCATCATACCTTACGCAGGTATAGACCTTGCTGTGTACGAGGTGAGTGTGTAGCAATCTTTTGAATCTGAAAGTGTGGTTATATAGTCCTTACTGTTTGAATTTGACTTTGTATGGAGAAGTACACGTATACCAGGGAACAGTTTGTGACCCAAAAGTAGATTCAAGGGTGTTAATTTACATATCTATGTCTATATCTATATCTATGTATATCTATCTATCTATACATATTTAGAGAGAGAGACAGGAAGGGAGAGGGAGAGAGAGAGAGAAACGTCAATGATGAGAGAGAATCATTGATCAGCTGCCTCCTGCATGCCCCCTACTGGGGATTGATACCACAACCGGGCATGTGCCCTGACCGGGAATCGAATCGTGACCTTCTGGTCCATAGGTTGATGCTCAACCACTGAGCCACACTGGCTGGGCCTCATTTATCATACCAGAAGGATAACTCTGCCTCAGAGCTTTGCAAAGGATTGAATGTGTCAAGTACATTAGATGTAGTCGGTAGTATTATTTTGATCAATACTCACTGTAGGCAGTGTTCTTCAGGTCCTGGAGTTGGTGCGTTTGACCTTCACGGTTACTTAGCAGACCTCCCGGGTCTGGGTCTGAATCCTCAGCGGCTCCCCCACCTGAGCAGAGCTGCCCCTCCTGGGAGTGGGTGGCCCGTCTCCTGCAGGACGAGAGAAGCTGTGAAAATGTTCACGTTGAGTGAAAGCGGCTGTGAAGTGAGTTGTTCACCGTCTCTCCTCTTTTTTTCTGTGGCCCTTGCAGCTCTTGAAGTCCCATTGGCTGGATCATTTTGCCAAAGACACAGTGAACCCCGGAGTGGCCGTGTTGCTGGGGTGTGGCGCCTTGTCCAGCACCTGCGGGCAGCTGGCCAGCTACCCGTTGTCTTTGGTGAGAACACGCATGCAGGCTCAAGGTGGGTTTTTCAATGAAGATAGTATATCCCAGCCTTCCGTTCTTTATTGCCTCCCTTTTCACAAAGCCTTTTCCTAATCACTCCCTCTTCATGAAATTCTAATACCACAGACACACTGCACATGTACTGTATGTATACCTGTGCTTTATGCATAAACAGTAAGGGTTTCTATTTACTCGTGTTGAGAACACATGCTTTAAGAATTTGTAAGCTTTGCCCTAGCTGGTTTGGCTCAGTGGATAGAGCATTGGCCTGTGGACCAGTCACGATTTGATTCCGGTCAAGGGCACCTACCTTGGTTGCAGGCTCCTCCCTGGCCGGGCCCTGGTCAGGGCATATACAGCAGGAGGCAACTAATCAATGTGTTTCTCTGACATCGATGTTTCTCTCTGTCTTTCCCTCTCTTCCACTCTCTGTAACAATCAATGTAAAAATGTCCTTGGGTGAGGATTAAAAAAAAAAGAATGTGTAAGCGTTAGTATCTAGATGAACCTGGGCTCAGATCCTTGCACACAGCCTCTCTGGGTTTTCCTTTTCTCACCTGTAAATGGGGACGAAGACCGGCTGTGTTGTAAGAATTAGCATCAGTCTGTGTCAAACACCGGGCATTTGTCAGATTCTTGGTCAGTGGTGGCTGGAATTGCTTATTACTGTGGACGCTACAACACTTGACCTGTGATCCTCCCCAATGTGACACTGTCTCCTCCCTCAACTTTGATCCCACTGTGCCCTCTTGGCTTCCTGTCACCTCGTGGATAATTCTCTTTTCTTTTAAAAAAAAATTTATTTGACTTCAGGGGGGCAGGGGGAGAGAGAGAAAGAGAGAGAGAGAGAGAGAGAGAAACATCAATGAGGAGAGAGAATCATTGATCAGCTGCCTCCTGCATGTCCCCTATTGGGGATTGAGCCTGCAACCTGGGCATGTGCCCTGACC